TTAGCAAATTCTTCAACGTAATAAAAAATAAAACTCAAGCAGCTGATCAATACGATAAAACAAGTGTAAGCATTAATAAGGATAATTTAAAATACATTTAATCAAATTTCATTTTAATATTTTTTTTTATTTAATTCAAAAGACTACATATTTGGCCGTAATATATTCTCACTCCCTATGTACAGTACATGGGAAGATGTATCATTGTATCCTGGGGCATTACTAGCATAGTCACACTGAATATTGTCACGCGACGTCCAAATAGCTCTATGATCGTAATTTCTCATCTTCCAGTAGCTACTATCCTTCCATTACGACCTAATAGATTGCCTAGATTGAACATCCAACGGTTGCTGTTCTTTGCGCGCGTGAATGCATGCGCTCTCGGAATAAATAGGATTGAATCAGATTTACTCGCGGCGAAAAATCCATCAACGGATCGTTTTACTCTTGGGTGGCCATTTTTTTCTTCCAACCAACAGGGCAGCGTGCGGTCATGCTACCACGAACCTAGAACATCAATCTAAAACAGCACGCCACAAGTACAAGAAACGGCGGAAGGAACATAGTGTACGGAACAACGTAACGGATGAATTTCGGATTGAACTGAAGTTTTGTAAGTACACGCAAAGATCGATAAACGTTGTCGACTGAGACATTGTGACATCATTCCACGAGGCAGTAGAGAAACAGCACACGGCGTCACCGCCACCGACTTCACTTCCCTTTTATGATGTTGATTCAGGGATAGAGTTTATATCTGGTGAACCAATAAGGCTGTAGGTCACTGCTGCATGTAGAAGCTAATGTTTCAGCCACCATTAGACATCGGATAATGTCATTACGTTCACATCTATCGACGCCAAAACGCGGTTTGCACTCCCACATGAAATACACACTATATACGAGTATGTACGCACTATATACAAGTATACGCACTATATACGAGTATACGCACTATATACGAGTATACGCACTATATACGCGTACACGCACTATATACGAGTATACGCACTATATACGCGTACACGCACTATATACGAGTATACGCACTATATACGAGTATACGCACTATATACGAGTATACGCACTATATACGTGTACACGCACTATATACGAGTATACGCACTATATACGAGTATACGCACTATATACGCGTATACACACTATATACGCGTATACGCACTATATACGCGTATACGCACTATATACGCGTACACGCACTATATACGCGTATACGCACTATATACGAGTATATGCACTATATACGAGTATACGCACTATATACGCGTATACGCACTATATACGAGTACATGCACTATATACGAGTATACGCACTATATACGCGTATACGCACTATATACGCGTATACGCACTATATACGAGTATACGCACTATATACGCGCGTACGCACTATATACGAGTGTACGCACTATATACGTGCGTACGCACTATATACGAGTGTACGCACTATATACGTGCGTACGCACTATATACGAGTGTACGCACTATATACGCGCGTACGCACTATATACGAGTATATGCACTATATACGACTTCACGTGAGCATCACGTGCACAATCTGATAACACATGCCCGTCTCATTTAACAGAACACGGTCTGTATACCTACTTCTATGAAGGCAAATATTGACTTTCATGAATGGGCTAAATTATAAATTACCACTATGCAATCATGTGCGATATCTTCTTGAAAGGTAACGTGGTGCCTGGTCTCCGAACGTTTATTTAACACGCAAGATTGATCCCTTATAAATAACGCCAAATTTAGGTGGCGAAAACTGCCACTACGATATAGAACGAGTAAAACCTTGTTGAGCATACTCAGTAGAGCCAATAGCTGTCGAAGCTTTCATAAGGGAAAAACATGCAGATCGGCTTTCCGACATGAAATAGTTCAAACAAACTACAGATCGGCTCCGCGCTGAAAGCGTACTCCTGTTACGTTCCAGCCTGTTCAACACATATTTGACTAAGTGATTGACGAGCAATCAATCGACCGAACATCCTAGTGACACGCCTGCAGAGTAGCATGTACCGCTGCTGCAAACTGTAAATGCAGGCTGTCGATCGCTAATTCGTCGAATGCGAATTAAAGTTGAATTTGGCGAAAAAATGTCATCATAAATTCGCCAAAAAGCTAAAGGTATTAGGCCCTTCAGGCTGAACTAAAATTCTACCCACTAGCGACCGCTACAAGTTAATTCGTGGGCCGCTCGAATTCAACACGAGACCGCTATTTGGTACCCCGAAGCATGCGGTACACTGCGTGTATTCATTATTTACCCAGTACCGAAACTTTTCCGGAAAAGACCGAAGATTATCAAAGTGGCCTTCACCACACATACGACTATACTACATGATTAGTCAAATTTGGCTAAACATTTTCAGGTCAAATTAGCAAATTGCTAACAATTTTCTTTTGTCCAGTTTAAACCCTGAAATGTAGCTGGCACTGTAACAAGGGTCGTAATTAATAGCTATGGTGACTTTGCATAACTTTGGGACTTACAGACATTCAATATGGGGATCGTAATTAATAGCTACAGTGCCCTTGCATGACTTTGGGACTTACAGACATGCAATATGGGGGTCGTAATTAATAGCTAAGGTGACCTTGCATGACTTTGGTAGTTACAGACATGCAATATGGGGATCGTGGTCATGGGTCCGAGTTACTCGATGCATTTTACAGCTCCATACCTTATATTCTCCCATGCTTTCACGCAGCGTCAGTGTCGGGGTGTCACTTAGTGTCACTGACTCGTTGACTATGAGAACGTTATCTATGTATATCTTGCTCGACGAACACAATCTGTGTGAAACGAAAAGACAACCACAGTTAATAAGCCATATGTCTCAGAAGACTGAGACAGAGTTTTTACTTTTTGTTTTGAACTGAATTTTTTTTAAGAGTAACTGTCTGGCTTCTAAAATGGATTCGATCAAATCAAACATCAGACACAATAGACGTTATTTGGTTAAATCTATTTGAAGTTGTTTCCACATTTAATAATAGCAAAGAAGCTTCTTATAAAACTAATTTAGCCTTATTAATTAATACAGTACTATCCTACATTATGACAATTAAGGTTACGAAAATGTTCCCATATGAAATTTCTGAAATATGACTAAAAATCAAGATACATCACGCCCATACATAACTTATAAATTATAACCACTAAACACAGGATACGACACGTAAGTTTGCTCTTCCGACACTTTTCAAAAAGATTGATTGGGTTATTTTACACAAAAATTGGCACGCTCAATCGCCCGTACATATTATAAAATTTATGCACTAAATATGCAGCCAGCTACCAAAACGTTCGGCGAGTGATTCTTCACAGCTATAATTTTCCGCTATCATATTTATTAGAGTGTGTTTGATCTATGCTTGCACTGTTTATGAAAAGTGCACGTACCTGCAATCATTCCCCCTTCCCCGCACCTAGTATTATTTATCATTTATATACACATATAGTATCGACCTTATAGCTGCTACAGTGATCTGTACAAAGAGAACATCTGAAGTAGACGTCGACCAACTTTAGATCAATTTTGTGTCTCCAGGTCAGAGCCTAAAACACCAAAATCCCAACGATGATAGTGACGAGAGAAGCGAGATTACTAGTAATAGTACTCTTCCCTCTCCTTCCCAGTTACTCTGATTCCCAATTCCCTTTCCCTCCCCAATATTACCACGATATTGCATCACGTCATTTTATAATCAATATATATATATTTAAAAATGTTTACTTGCATTCATAACGGTCCTTCTAGTGCACAATTTTAGCTTAAAGATTTTGTGTAGGGTATAGCAACACATCTCCGAAATTCATACATAACGGGATTCGTTAACTTGGGGTAACACGTGATTCACATTGCAGATTTTAAAGTTAGAAACGATTTTTACGGAACATATTACTTACAGAACACAGGGTATAATAATTGTACAGAAGAAATACAAGACAGCACATTGCAGTTTACACCGAGACCAAGTCAGCTACTAAACGTATATTCTCGAGTAAAACTAAGTAGGTTGGGAAAGTGTCTATTCACACACATAGCAATGGCTTTCGGTTACTGCATAAGCTGTATATTTCGCGGTGGTTTAATTTTCGCGAATTTCGCGAATGCGTCCCCGACCGCGAAAATAACAACACGCAAATAATTCATACCCAATAATACCGAATAACTCATAATTCACTGACCGCGAAATTAACCACTCGTGAAATTGCCCATCAAGAAATAATTCGCGAAAATGTCTGTATGCGAAAAATATGGCGTATAGGGCCTACAGTAGTATAGCGAAGCGTCCATACTTTTTCAATGCCCAATTTTCTCCTAGAGCAATCCTGCCAGCAGTTAACCAGTCCAACAGCACGAGATTCGATGATGGCGTTAGCTCTATCACCTATATAGCGATACATAAATAGATATACATGCACACACACATAAATACACACATATATATATACACACCGATGTACAGATATGCATTCACTCATCTTACAGATGAGGCATCTACCAGGTATGGGTGAACTTACTCCATAGGGCAGTGTTTCCCAACTTTATGGTCATTAATGGTCCATGATAACATATTATAATTATATGAATATGACGATAATAGCTAGTATATTGATATATATGTATTATTGTAATAATATTGAATACATTGATGATATATTAGTTATATGGGTCATGGTCACTTATTTAGTTTGTGATTTTAATGTCACTCTATGTCGTTAGGGTTAGGGTATAGGGTATCATCATTTAATCGAATTAATCATTAATGAGTGATCGAAAGGTTGGGGAAACACTCCTAACGGGAGCGTTAGCCTAGCATATGGCATACGAATTATGTCAGTAGTAACACAATTAGCAAATTATAATAAATAATAATTTGTTAATTGCGGTACTCCTGATTACATACGCATGAAGATTCATGCCCTGCTTCCAAACTAAATCGAAAAGTTCTCAAAAAAAAATTAAAAGCAATTATCTGGAGAAGCTACTACTGCTGATACGTGCGAATAAAAATATGTGCATACAAACAAAATATACCATTACAGACGCATATATAGATTCATTAATAATAAATTAAATAAAAAAACGGCTACTAAAAAAGCCATCACGTGCCTGTGTCTGTGAGTAGTTCGCGTCGGCAAAGCAAACGACCGGATCTGGAAGAATGCTCAACATGGACCCGCACCACCGCGAGCGCAGCTCTTGTTTCGTCACCCAAGTCGTCTTCGCATTTGTACACCTGCACCCGCGACAGCATGCAACATTGCTCAATTTTAGCTTAAAGATTTTGTCTAGGGTAGGAACACATTTCTGCATACATAACGGGATTCGTTGGGGAAAAACGTGATCACATTGCAGATTTTCACATTAGAAACGATTTTTATGGAACATATTACTTGTACCCTGGGTATTACTATTATTGTACAGAAGAAACACAAGACAGCAGCCACCGATAAGCAGGTCATCACCGCCAAGCTTGTGATTAGGGCCAGCTTATGTAATGTTTTACTCATATGCTACTGCATATAGTCTGGTATTTTAACTTGGAGACAAACTTATACAACCCCTAAACAATCCCAAAGTTGCTATACTATCGTAAAAGAATTATAATTCAGACTTGTGTGTATACGCATAACAAACAAATAATTGCCGATCCATATATATATAGGTTATATATATATGTATATATATAACCTATTATAGTATTATAGTCTAGTCATATATATAGTAGTGAGTAGTTATATATATATATGGTATAATGAATATATATATTAGGTGCGGCGCGGCCGTCATGATATATAATAATTATATATATATATATCCGATCGACATCAAGTGTATATCTATATACTATTAATTATTCGTGCTGACATTCGTGCTCATCAGCAGGAATGCTCTTAGTGTAGAATTCAGCATTAGTATTCCAGTGCTCTAGTCTAACCTTTGTTGAGCCCTGTGTAGTGATGACAACACAGCACTGGTCTTCTATATCAACACTGATAGACAAGTGGTCTCCCTGCACCAGTCCACCACCGTACGTGATGAAATAGACCCACATGCTCGCCGTGGAGCTGGCATGACGCGGAACCAGAATCTTCAACTAAAAACAGCCAGGGTTATGCATTCGCATTAGTTACTCCACCGACAAATTCCAAAGAACGCCTTGCAGAGCGGGACAATACTCGTCACTCAGGCATTTAACATCGCAAAAATGTATCAGAACAGTCTACTGCCAGTTCAAAAGAAATGCTGTTAAAAGTCATACCCAGTGAAGGATAGGTAACATTTCACAATATTATAGTACAGTAGTGAGAGTAAAGCTTTGTAACAAACGTCCGCGACTAGATTTGCAAAGAGTAGATTCGACTGCACTATTTCATCAGCCTGTCACTGACTTTGCACCTTCCACGCAATCAATACAAACTATCAGTTCAACCTTGTGACATTGTTAGCGAGTTATTTCCCTCTGCCACTGCAAAACCGGTCTAGCTTGAACACCCGCTACACGCATTAACCTGGGTTTACACTGCCAACTTTGAGTTGGCGAATTGCCGAATTAGAACATGTTCTAATCTCCCAACTAGCTGCTATCGATCGGTTGGACGCGCAACTTTTGCGTTTACACTGCCGATTGTCAGTTGCAAAATTGCGAAGTTGGTACAATTCGCAAATTCACCAAACACAAAGTTGGCAGTGTAAACCCAGCTTTATTTTAGTATAACTCGCCCACCGGATACGAGTACTGGACATCCACGATGGAGGCAGTACGGAACCCATGCGCACCCACGCCCGGCTCTCCATTGCTTGCTGGTTGAAGATCCCCGCGGGGTCTAATGAGCAAACGACCAGTCGATGGCATGCCGGACCAGTCACTATATATATAGTCTGCCTGTAGAAATGTATAGGACTTACAAGTTACGTGAGTAACTATATCATGTCTGAAATATAACACAATTAAAAATGTATATAAAGGATACTCAAGAGGATTACCAAAATTTGCCTAAATAGACTATTGTATATAAGTGCTTCTACTACATAAATCACACTGAAAAGCCCGGGACACACTAGGCGATTTTCACCGGTGACTGAGCTGGGGGAATCATTCGCCGGCAAAATTCGCCTAGTGTGTCCAATCAGTCACTGCCAAATTTCCATTCAGGTGACTGAATCGCCCGATTATCAAACATGAAAATTGGGCGATTCATCAGCCAATCAAACGGTGCCATTTTCAATCATGTGACTATCAATCTAGGTGGCGCGAGCATCTAGTGTTTAGTATCTAGTGTTTTAGTGTTGCAGCGGGGCAAAAATCGCCGATGAATCGCGCTCTTATTCGCCTAGTATGTCCACTCAGTCGCCCGCGGCGAATCATTCGCCTCCAAATTCGCCTAGTGTGTCCCAAGCTAAAGGAAATGACAAACGGATCCTCCATGCACGTGTATCCATTCTACAGAGGCGACTACTAACACCGATCTAAAGTAAACACTTGCAGCAGTTTCTCTATATAAATTACCCATATAAGTGAATTTATGGCGTCACTATGTACCGACTCAGGGTTTTATATAGGCAGGAGTTTCATTAAAAGCCAGTGTGCGGTGAAACCAGCTTTGTACTTTGGCGTCCAGGCCATGTATTTTATAGCCCGAGGAGGTTGGGAAACTAATAAGCCTGCAGTTGTGCTGAAGGGGTCGTTGTCGTATCAGGTACTACAGATATGTACCCGAGGTACATATATATATATACACAAAGTGTACCAGACTTGTACTACATAAGTGTACCCTAACCCTAACCCTAACCCTAACACTAACCCTAACACTAACACTAACACTAACCCTAAACCTAAACATACCTCATATAAAAATATAAACATAATACTAAACAACCTAAAACTACCTCGGGTACATATCTGTAGTACCTGATACGACAACGACCCCATCTGCTTCAGTTACCCTTTGGGCCTGGTCTTATCTCAGACAGTGATAACCCGTTTACTCAGTCATAGGCTTATTACTTGCGAAAACAACGATATTTAGAAAGGTAAAACCGTCCAGGCTAAATTTGGGTTCACCTATAGTATTGGACATATTCATAATTCATATTAAAGTTGAACTTTTGTTTTTAATTTTTAATATTAAATAAATTTTTAATTTGCTTTTAAATGTATTGACATTGTTTCAATGCCTTTTTCTAAGTTCCTATGTGATTGTTGTTCTATCCATTTGATCAACTTTAATCTCTCTGCGTCTTCGATGTAGTACATTAGTACATTAGACTTTGAAGACACATTTTTATGAAGAGAAGGTCACTCGGACTAGACGGTGGTTCAGTCACTCAGTGATGTGATCAGAGCCAGAGGCGGAGGACAGGGCATTGCCATTGCCATTGTATCAGCATCAGCCATCAGCAGCAGGAGCCTACTGACCACAGGCACTTGGAACGTCTCAATAAAAAAAGGTAAATAAACACGAAATGTATTTACTACCAAAGTCTTAAAGGCTCACAATGCGCATCCAAACGCTAATTTCTCCAGTACTAAACTAGCAAATACTTCGTGTCATGCATAATCACACTACCTTATGACAAAATAAACTCTAGTTCCACCCATTCCACTGCGCGTTTGCTTAAAACCCACAAGAAAGAGGTGAGAAAACTGGCATTCTGGCGCAAACGCTAAATTGTTTGAAACAACTTAGCCTCACATGTTGCTACAGGGTGTTGAGCAAGGAATTGTTTGTCCCGTGTCTATTATATGTAGTCGTTTACATTTTAAGATAGTTGTAGTATTGTGAACTGCAGTGTATGTAACATCAAAGACTATTGAGAAAGTAATAATAGGCAGCGTAATAAACGTGAAAATAACGTATTGATTTTAGGCTTGATATCGCTAACAGCGCGAACATTGCGCTAGAGCGTGCAAGCGAAAAACGCACACGGGCCGTAGAAATCTTTGCTACACCCGCTGGACGGTTGCCTGGCAGAGCAACGCAAACGTGTCAACAACATCGGAGAATTTGAAAAACATTGGAGCTATTTTCAAATACCTTTTATAAGACAACGCGCAGTGAAATGGGGGGAACTAGAGTTTATTTTGTCATAAGGTAGTGTGATTATGCATGCCACGAAGTATTTGCTAGTCTAGTACTGGAGAAATTAGCGTTTGGATGCGCATTGTGAGCCTTTAATGTTTCTCTACTCTATTTCGCCTATAATCACCTGTCAATGCTGGTCAAATGCTCATCTGCAACACACAAGTACACCGCACGGTAGCTGCTGCACACTGACACATAAATTTTATTAGATTATATATTTATGTGTCAGTGTGCAGCAGCTAGCGTGTGGTGTATTTGTGTGTTGCAGATGAGCATTTGACCGGCATTTAGACCCTACAGGCTACAGGTGATTATAGATGAAATAGAGTAGCTAGAGAAACATTAAGACTTTGTTAGTAAATACATTTCGTGGTTATTTACCTTTTTTTTGGCTACTCTGGTGGTACAGCTGGCGGCTGTGCTGATTGGCTGCAGCAAGTTAAACGTGCAGACAGGCTGGGAAACTACGTTTGTTGACATCGCGGGTGAGTCATGTTAGACGGACCCTCTCTCTCGCTGTACGCTCGTCGATCTGTATTGCCTAGCGGGATGCGCGGGTTTGTCTATTACTGGGCGAAGTGGCGGCGCACGTGAACTTGCTGCAGCCAATCAGCGCAGCCGCCATGCAGCGGTTGGCCATGCTCGCCTTTTTGCCTGGTAGCATTCGAAAGATCATTTCGCATAAATATTTGAGGAATTTCTGTGATTTGAGCGCATTATGGCGGGCCGATTGTCAAAAATGGTGGGTGTAGCTTGTTCAGCAGTCTTCTGCAATTCCAACAATAGTTGGAAAGTGGCGTCACCTGCAGGAACACCGGAGTTGTAACTGATTGAAAATGGTGAGTTGTGGTCCGTGCGGCGGCGAGTTAGGCACCATGTTGTTATATATAGTGATAATACACCCATTGACAGTTCTGCGCCTATGTTCTGCGCCATTAGTTACGCATCTCCGCGAGAGCCCGGATGTGTGAGTAAACTCCGCAATATTGTTTATCTCGATGCGTTATCTGCGTTGCAGCGAAAAAAATACACGGGAGCGGCGAGCGATTTCGCTCCCGTCAGCTTTCAAAACGCTCTGGTAACGACAATTACGAGAGCGAAAATTTTGGAAGATACGAGAAAAAATCGCTCCCGTGCCGCCGGCAGCGTTCGAAATTAGTTCCGACCCGGAGGCCCTCCAAGCTTTTGCTCGGGCCACCATCTCTAGGAAACTGCCGATCCTCCTGGCTGGCACTTTTTCCCCTCATATTACGCTGAAATACTACGGTTATCGCAACGGCAGTTTAGACAGGTCCTTGTATAAACGGGAGTGCATAATACGACCCGTTCCTCAACGTAGACGGGGTTTCCAAAACATATAGAGATGCATGAACTCCCTCAACGCATGATTCGCCACACGAACAAAAACTCGCGACAGTCTAAGAAATCGATTGCGGCATCGCCCGGCATGTAGGGCAGCCCATGCAGTGTTTTTATGATCGCATAACAATAAGTTTTTATATCGCAGGGGTTACCGTGGGGAGTGAGGGCACGACCAGTGACACCTTACACGCACGTAATCAAAGCTGTTAACTGAATTCGTCACTTTTCTTAACGTAGAAAGTGGACTGTTTTTATTCAGTTAGATATTAGTTCATTAGATATCGTTCATTACATATCGTTCATTAGATATCGTTCATTAGATATAGTTCATTAGATATCTAGAAGCAATGTGAACTGTATATACTTATTAAAGATTCTAGGCACTTGTAACTTTGCGGAAGTGCGGCAGCATAGATCTATGCATGGGGGTACCGTGGACTGGGGAGGAGAAAAACTAAAGTAATACCTCCTCCGACATTCCTAGAGATTGAAACATTATTTGACCAACTCTAATTAAGTTACATGTATGCTGTTTTAATGCCAATGGTTATCTTTATATACTATTTTATTACTCACTGCTAGTAAATAAGCGGACCACCAAATTTTTGTGCTGGTCCACCAACTTTCTGAAGTTGATGGTTCCTGGCTTGTCCACTAGATTTTACAGCCGAAATTCGAAACCTGCGGTGCCGTGCTTCGATTTCAAACCCGCTTGCCCCGATGGCACGGGGCAAACAAAATTCCCCCCGGGCAAGTAGCTTGCAATTGCATTTGCCTGTTCCGGCAAAGCAAAGATTTTTTTTAATTGAATGTCTAGACATACACGATCAAATTTTTCTGTTTCCACCCGTTTGTAAAACGCTGCCAAAGCGTTACAAGGCCAATAAAGGCTACAGAAATTCCCCCCCCACCCCGACGCAGTTACAGATCGTTCACGCGGCTGGATATTAATCGCGTCACGGCTAGCTCGGCAGAAATATTCGCCTGGCCTAATGGGGCCCAATTAGCTGAGGTCCGCAATCTTACGCTGATATTAATGCTCGCGTGCTTGGATATTACATAGATGTCACTCGCGGCTATGAGAATGCGGCTAGATATTGCGCCTGGCCTATGGGCACAGTTTAAGTGAGGCGCAATGTCTACACGGATATCGTCGCTGCTGGATGTTACGCCCATCGGATATTACGACGCTCTGCCCTATAGGGGCCCAGGTGTGCGGCGCGATAGATTCAATCATGTCTAGTTTATTGCGCCCTCACGCATGTGGCCCAATAGAAGCAAGCTTAATATCTAAAGCGGCCGTCACTCCGAAGTGCTTCATATCCCCATAGAACCGCGAAGGGAGGCGCACTGCTTCAACGCATACGCCGGGCCCCGAGCCCGGTTTTAGTGACCTGAATCGGTTTATGAATTGGTTTGTCTGACGCATGGTGAGCCG